TCGTCCGTCGTCTCCTCCGTCTCTGCTCCTGCTGGCTCCTCCTGCATCTCCGCTCTCTGAGGGTGATGTCAGTGTGGTGTGTGTGGCTCAGGGCTTTTACCCTGACGGTGTCACCATGTCCTGGTCTGAGGACAGCAGCGGCGTGACGGGGGACGAGGTGCAGACGGCTCCGTATCAGCGTCAGGCCGACGGCACCTTCTCCCAGACCAGTGTTCTGAAGCTCGGTAAGCAGCGCTGGAGCTCCGGGAGAACCTACACGTGCCGTCTGAGTCACCCGGCGCTTTCCACACCGCTGAGCCAGAGCACCAGCCTGAACCAGTGCATGTAGAGAGATTCTCTAACCATCAACAAACATGCATTAAAGAATTCCACTTGTTCTTTACTTGCTTGCTTTAGAAAGTATACGATAATAAAGTTATATTGTTCATTGTAATTGTTAACCTGTGTCCTCATGGTGTTCATAATGACATCTGCTAGAGGATTGCTACCATTTTATTTCCCAAAGCACAGCAATCCCAGGCTTAGAGCAAACTTCTCAATGCATACGCTTCAAAAACAAGTAAAACATATTGCACTATAAAATGTCTTCATAAGAATAATGCAAACATGACAGGCTCTGAACTCTCGATTCTGATTGGTCAGAAGGTGTTGCTTCATTTTCTATAACAGCAGCTCTGACACTAGTTCCAGCAGGAAAGTCTTCAGAACAGAGGGGTTTAGAGTTTGTAGTTTCTCAGTAAGGAAAAAAACAGGCTGCATGTTGAAGGACTGAGTGTTATCGCTGCTATAACGTAAGTAATAACAGGAACTCCTTTCATGGGCGTTTTTATGACTATAAACTATAGATGAATACAAAAGTATGATGTATAGTTGTTTGCTGCAGTACAGGAAGGACGTGCTGTTCTAGGAAAATAATCAACTTCAGGGTTAATATGAACTCCTCACACCACCCCATATCTGTATTCCTATAAACTTACTGCTTGAGTGTCTACAGTGCTGATATAAACAGAAAATAGTTAAATTAAATAGCCTAACATTTATGAAACCATCATGTTGTCATGACAATGTATGCCTGGTGTTGTAATTACTGTTTTATATATATATATATATATATCGTATAGGCTATATAACATGTTAGAAAGGCATTACACATGAAATACAGTGTTCTGGCATGAAACTCTAGATGGCGCAGTCCGATAGGTCTAACTCAATCTGACCTGGCGACATCATTGTCACATGGCAGCTGATTGGTTCTCTCCTGTATCGGTAGCCAATGAGCTCGCTCCTCAATATTCAAATACCTGGCTTTAGTTTGCTGTATCATTTGGCAGCGCACTTCAGAAACCCTCCACCTTCCCCAGCTCCACCTGTATAGATCTGCTACAGGGTGATTCATGTATGGGGGTTATTCATATGTGTTATATGTGCAGCAGCAGTATTTCTTACATGCTCACAGCAGCATGTTGTGGATGTATTGGCAGAAGCAAGTCTCGGTACTTGCTCTGCCGCAGCAGCAGCGTAGCAGATCTATTCCGCCAAGACCAAATACATTAACATTGTCATGTACATTACCATGCCAATCCCTCCGAGAGTTGTCATGACAGAAATATAATTATGCCACAGATTAAGTACAGCGTTTGATCTAAGATAAATAATCAGCCTGACTTTTTACTGTGAAATGAAATCATTTTCATCATCAGATTTGTGTCTTGTTAATAAAATGTTCCTATTTATCCAAAGAATTCTGGAGCTTGTCGATGACTCCAGCATTCACATCACACTGTTTAATAAATCAGAAAAATCGAACAATTCAAATTCTTTTTGGAACTGATGAATAAATCATTTCCGAATTATTTCGATCAAAAACAGAGCATTTATTACAGATATTTAATCTGATACTGTATCCCACAATCTAGTTACAGCATTAGCACATTTCAGTATACAAAATGCTAACTGCTAGCCACTCACTTTCAGCCAGTGTTAGCTAAGTATTGAGATAGCTTAGTATCTGAATTGTTAACAGACTTGATATTGCTAGGTATGAAAGGCACGTAATCAAGCTACAAGTTGACTATTTGCTCTAGCCATCACAATGCTGCAGCTCAATGAGCAACTCGTACAAAAACCTCAGAGTGTTTCAGTCATCCTAATGATCCGTCCCATTCAGTCCAGGAGCTCCAATCCAGGCAGGAATGATTAGACATTTTTTTTACGATTTCTCATGCCACATGTCTGAAATTTCCTCCAGATTTGCCACTTTGAGCTTCAGTTTTGTGAACGTTGAGGCGTTCAGTGTGAGCAGGAGCAGTGTGCTGTGGAGACCAGGTTTTTGTACGACGCTGTTGCACAGTGCCATGGCAGCATCGGCGGAGGCACCGAGTTGAGGATCGGTGAGTCATAATCTTTTTTTTGCACTTATTGAAAAATAGGATTACTGTTCATTTTCATGAAGACAGACATAGTTGGTGGAACATGATTTGATTGTACCCAAACATAACTTAATGGCCACGTTATTGTCCCATTAGAATCCAATCATATTCCACCAACTATACTAAACTGTATTTGATTCAAATGTATTAATTTTGATTTTAGGGTATTATTGTTTGAATTTAAATAAATCAGTAATCATTTAATAAATTCATTTCCATGTTTATTTTTCAATACATTTTTTTTGATGATATTTTGTAACAGATAACTACTATGACTTTTATTTATTTAAAATAAACAATGAACTAATGTACTATAAAAAATTCACTTTCTATTTGTATTTTTTGTGTCTATTTCTGTCTTCATTTTTAAAACAAAACAACAAAAAAAAAGAATAAATTACATTTATTGAATTGATTAATTTTAGAATTTTTGCTGTGAAATGTAATTTTGTATAAAATTTGAACCATGATGGCCATATCAACTGATGGCATTCTCACTGACTCTCATTCCTCCTTAGCTCGTCCGTCGTCTCCTCCGTCTCTGCTCCTGCTGGCTCCTCCTGCTTCTCCGCTCTCTGAGGGTGATGTCAGTGTGGTGTGTGTGGCTCAGGGCTTTTACCCTGACGGTGTCACCATGTCCTGGTCTGAGGACAGCAGCGGCGTGACGGGGGACGAGGTGCAGACAGCTCCATATCAGCGTCAGGCTGACGGCACCTTCTCCCAGACCAGCGTTCTGAAGCTCGGTAAGCAGCGCTGGAGCTCCGGGAGAACCTACACGTGCCGTCTGAGTCACCCGGCGCTTTCCACACCGCTGAGCCAGAGCACCAGCCTGAACCAGTGCATGTAGAGAGATCACACAGTGTTGCTTCACCTCTCATGTGTTGCATAAAGAGAGAAATATATATAATGCAGCTCAGTGAACAAAACTTGTCTTTAATAATGAGTGTGTTTTCCATTTAAACAAGCTCTTCTGTTATTGTGAAATGAGTCTTGTGGAGCTCTACTTTGTTGCTTACTCTAGTAAATAAAGCATTTAAAAATTTCAAATGAAACTATAGAACCTAGATGTTTTGCAGCGTTTGTTCCCTTTTTTTCAAATTATAAATAAAAGTTTCATTTTCAGTTTGCTTTTCACATGAGATCTGGTTTGCATATGGTTGCTCATCAGTGCATGAAGAGAACAAGAGAGCCTTTTTTGGACAGAGAATGAACAGAATGCAATAAGGACATTCAATCAAGAGTTTATGATAAAATTAACGTGTTAAATGTGTTTAAAAAAAGTTGAGTCTGATCAGAATCTGAACTTGGGTTTGTGGATGTTCTACAACTTTAAATGTAACTGTAAAGGGATAAAAAAAGGATGTGATCTTTAATAAAAAATAATTATAATTGTTGGCAAATTGCTGTAGATTAAGAGGAATAACGGTTTACTAAAACGAGAAATACTATGGTTTTGTCAACGTTTTGTTTTGATTTGATGTCGCTTGCTGCGCTCAGGGTTGAGGAAGCAGTCCGGAGTAGAAATTCCTAGTAGGAGTTTTTCCTAGTGAATAGTGACCTTTAACGTTAATGCAGTATTAATTGTGGCTAAATCTCTCAAAGGTCAAAATTTTCATTTCCAGTTTTTTTTGCAGCAGTCCATCTATTGACAATGCTCCTCAAGAGATCACATTCTATTTCTGTCAAAACACATTAGCTTATAAAGACTAGCATCTAACAATTAATTAATAACAATTATGAAAGCTCCAAGGTGAGTTAGTGATTATGGAAAAAGTCCTCCGTAGTCTCCAGGGGGGCATAGTGTGCCTGCATGCCTCCTTTAACCTCTCGTTTCTAGTGGAGGTAATGACTTCCTCCCGAAAGCAAAGATGATCCCATTAAATCTCAAGTTTACTGGTGAACCTGGAAATAAATAGGACGTAACAGACTGAAAACAGTGCTTTTATTTACGATGAAAAAAAAAATACATTGTTAAGAGATGTTGAGAAATGTTAAGAGTAAAAATGAGTGCCAAACACAATATTAAAGGGGTCATATGATGCACATTTTCCACAAGTTGATATGATTCTTTAGGGTCTTAATGAAAAGCCTGTAACATAGTTTGGTTAAAATTTCTCAATGGTAGTGTAAGGGGCCATTCACATATCGCGTCTTTTGCGCACTCAAGTTCGTTATTTCAAATGTAGCCGCGCGGCAGACGCGCTCATAATGGAAGCGACGCGGTCGCATTTTTTCCAGGTGCTTCCACGCCGCATCGAGATAAAAACATTTCAACTTTTCAGAATGCCGCAAGCGCACCGCGGGTCATGTGACAAGAACCAACCAATCAGCTTCATTCTTTCCCGTAACAACATTGAAATCTCAGTCAAAATGAAGGAATAGCTGATCATAGCTGTACAGGGATAGACTTTTTTTTTTTTAATTAGTAGCAGAGCTACTGCAAGATATTTTTAATGCTGCAAATTCATTTATCCTTTGCTGAAACTCCCGAGTCTTCATGGAGAGCGGAGGTCATGGTTGCTTAGCAACGGCAGACACCTCCGGAGCGCAAGCGCCCGAACGCTTTGGGGAAAAAAGCAGAAAGCGGCGCGCCTAGCGTTTTCCACACGTTTTTAGGCGCGATATGTGAATGGCCCCTAAAAACAACTTTTTTTACACTGTCAAAAACAGCTCTTTTCAGATCAAGCTGTTTTTGTATCATTTCCCTTTAAATGTTAATGAGCTCTGCTGACCCCGCCCCTCTATTCCGAGCTGCTCTCAGAGAGTCTGTTTACTTTAGCCACATTCATCGTGAAACTTGCTAATTAGCACATTATTAGGAAAGGCGATTTGCAAAGATTCATTACAAAACATTATACTCACTTCTTCTGTAGATGAATGATTCGCGCGAACATAGACGCATTTAGGCAGATCGGGGGAGCATTCCCTTCAGAAACAAACGAAATCCACTGCGAGTTCAG